ACTGGAACAAAGGACATAACCAATACTACGAAGAGGATGACCTTCCTGGACACCTTGGTAGCGGATAATGATGCAAATAAGGAACCTGAAGGAAGCCAAGTCACAGTCCAAAAAAATATGGTCTCCTACGAACATGAGGATGAAACTAATAACTATCCTAACCCGGAGCTCTTCATCCCCATTACCTCTTCGGACAAGGAGCGCATATACAAAAACTGGACCAATGCTCTTATCATCAAAATGTTTGGAAGGAGAATTGGTTACCAATTTCTCCAAAAAAAACTCCATGCAATATGGAAACCAACTGAAAACCTATCTCTGGTAGACCTGGGAAGCGACTACTACTTAATAAACAAGGCCCTACATGAAGGACCATGGTTCATAGGGAACCAATTTCTCACAGTAAGAAAATGGGAGCCTAGATTCGTAGCCTCCAAAGCTGCATTAACTTACTCAGCCATATGGGCAAGACTCCCGGAACTACCCAACTGAATTCTATGACTATGAGATCCTTCAAAAAGTTGGAGAGAAGCTGGGACAACTAATACGTATTGACGCATGCACCAAATCCGCTCTAAGGGGTAAGTATGCTCGACTTTGTGTAATGGTACCTATAGAAAAACCCCTAAAAACCTATATTGTGATTGGCAAACACATACAACAAATTACCTACGAGGGATTTAACCTCCTATGCACAAATTGTGGCAGACTTGGACACAACGTTAGCAGCTGCCCTCACCAAACGCATAAACCAGTAGAGCTACAGGAAGCAAGCTTATCCAATACTATGCCTAAGTCTCACATGGTGGAAACACTCACCCATAAGATTGACCAATGGACTATTGTCTCCCACCAAAAGAGAAATAATAAACAAACAAACAACTCCAATAACCAAAGCCCTACCAGAAACGACCTAGAACACCCTAGGGTTTTGACTACCCAAAAACATGGCCCCAGTACCCAAAGATGGCAAAGGTCTGAAACTAGAAATGACCAAAAGCTTTCCACCAACTTTGAGGAAAGCAAAAACACATTGGACAATAGAAAATCGGTAGGTGATCCACTAATCACCCCATGTCGATACCCTACAGCCCAAAACCAAAAAGTAGACAATATAGTACCTAAGGACTCTACACATCAACACCATAATGAAAATCCCTTCTCTTGCCTTTACCCTAAGGATCTTGCCACAACTAACCTAGAAACCACTAACTCTCCTCATAACTTACATAACCCCTTGGGCAATAACTCTCACAAAACAAAAGCTTATAATGATAGCCCCTTAGTACCAGCTACTGTACCATCGATAGATAAAAATAAGACACAATCCATGGATATAGACCGTAAAATCCCTACAAAAAGCCAATCACCCTCTTTAATGCAAAACCTAGGTAGACCAAAAACAACCCCATCCAACCTGCCTATGCGTGCCTCCAAACTCATACAACAAATCCCTAGTACAAATCAACCTCACTACATGTAAACCTCAAGTCATAACACCATTAATGTACAAGACATCTTAACTCCTAGGATGGACAAAACTTTAGGAGCACATATTCCCCTACACAGTAACAACGGATATAAACAACTACCTTCCCAATAGTAGAGATTCCAACTTTACAACAGACTCAAACCTTAGTAAAAACAAAATANTCAAAACACCAACAATGGTCCGATTGACCCTCCGAAACTCACTCGAGGCCCCCGGACCTCAACTAAAAGTGCCAACACATCCTAAAACCTCTTTCAAACTTGTTCCAATCATCAAAACACCTCACACAACGCTAAAACCATTAAATCACATCGGATTCAAGCCTAAGCTTCTTAAAAACTTCCGAAATACGCATTCGATCAAAAATCCAACCAAACCGCGTCCAAATGACCTGAAATTTTGCACACACAGCACAAATCACATATCCAAGCTACAGCAACTCTCGGAATTCCATTCCGACCCTCGGATCAAAATCTCACCCATCAACCGGAATTCGCCAAAATACTAGCTTCGCCAATTCAAGCCTAATTCTACACCGGACCTTCAAAATCAATTCCGATCACACTCCTAAGTCATAAATCATCCCCCGAAGCTAACCGAATCACCGGAAATCACATCCGAGCCCTCCAACTCAATAGTCAACATTCGGTTGACTTTTCCAACTTAAGCCTTCCTTAAAGAGACTAAGTGTCTCATTTCTTATCAGAACCAATCCAAATCAATTCTAACACACCACATACCGATAACGAAACATGAAGAAGCATAAAATGGGGGAAACGGAGCGGTAATACATGAGACGACGGGTCGGGTCGTCACAAAAAATTTAAGACTTAACATACTTAATTAGTATAATTATTAATGTATAGGCTAATGAATCACTAGCGTTACTTCAGAAACCACTAATATTACTTAACGATACCACTAATAAACCTCCACTTACTTTAATTATCAAACTAAATATAAACAATCACAAACATTTCTCACAGATATCATTAACACACTTTCATTTAGTGTATAATTATCAATATATCGGCTAATCAATCACTAAAGTTACTTATATAAGGATACCACTAGTTCACTAATTGTTAACGTTACTTAAGGACACCATTAATACACTTATGCTTACAGTAATTATCAATTTATAAGATAAACCATCACTAATATTTCTTATGAAAACGACTAATACACTTCTTCTTAGTATGTAATTATTAATGTATAGGTTAATCAATGTAGTTAAGGATACTACAAATTCACTTTTACTTTGTGTAATTATAAATTACTAAGCTAATTACCACTAATATATTTTTAAGTAGTGTAATTACCTCCACTTAGTATAAATTTCAATAAATAGGCTAATGAACCACTAAGATAGTTAAGTAAATACTTACCGACGGCCTCCCTCGGTATTGTGTAATAAAAAATAAAAAATAAATATGTATAATATTATATATTTAAATTACCGACGGAAGTCCATCGGTACTATAAGAACAAAATGCAAAATATTATGTAAATGCAATAGTGATTTACTATACGTCGACAACTATATTTTCTTTTTCATTTTTTTTAAAGCACCGAGAGACACAGTCGGTATCTAAAAAAAAATAATTCAAAAAATATAAATACAAAATGTTCCGAGGGAGTCCGTCACTAAATTACCGACGGAGTCCGTCGGTACAACCATTTAAATTTTGGCCGGCCAAAATATCATTATTTACCGACGGACTTCCGTCGGTTCTTTTTAAAAAAAAAATTAGAAATTAAAAAATTCTAAAGTATCGAGAGACTCCGTCGGAAAGTCCTTCGGAATACCGACGGAAAAAAATTCGTCGATACTGTTATGTCGGTAATCAGGTGACTTTTAGTAGTGTTTATCATATAACGTGTATGCATTGGCTGCATATATATAAATTGTCTTTAGATGGCTCTACTTATTCAGTTGAACGTTACTGATCAGGCCTACAACATCATGCAAATTAAGGAGTGGACATTTGCTTTTTTGCTTTTTTCTTCATGGACCTACGAGGGAAGATCTTCAAAGCCTGCTATAGGGACATATGTACATGACCTTCTTTTTTTAATATGTACATGACCTAATGTTCAAAGAAAGAAAAAAAGCAGAGCGACAGCAATTTAACAAAGTTAACAATAATAACCATATATAGCATGATTAAATAAATTATTTAGGAAAAGCTTAAAGATAGCTTGAACTAGTCTTAACATAATCATTAAAGAAAAATAAGTGGAGATACAAGGCATTTGAATATAAAGCATGTTATATGCTACAACAGGTAAATAACGGTGTATATTTATTTTAACTTTTTTCCTAGTCTTCAAAAAGTGACTACATTCAGATATTTACCTTGGGTAATGATTCTAACTATTCAATTTTAGCAAATGTAATCGGATTTAACCACTTTTAACTCTTCCTTCAAGAATGAAAATAGAGTAATTTACAATTGATTATCCTTTTCTAAATTAAATGTGCATATTTTTGTATTTGTCATCGACATTGCTTGACTGTGACAGATTTGTGATGCTCTCTCCCAATATCGTAGGTTGTGTTCAAATTATCCTTCTCTATCTAAAAAAAAGTAGAATTTCTTGTTTTTCTGTACATTTAATTCACACTGTAAAAGCTCATCCCCACTAGGGAGTTTCTCCTATAAATTCAGAACCCCGCATTCCCATTTTCATCATAACTCAACTAGCTTTAGTTATTGAGAGACAGACAAATTAACAAAAAGCTTAGGGAAAAAAAATGGAAGGAACTTGTAACAACCGTAGTCATTCCAAACTATTTTTCTTATTTTAGTTGCCTTCACTTCTTCTTCATTCATGGAGTCAGCTTCAGCAGCAAGGCCAGCAGCCGCAGATACAAATACGGAGTTTATAAGAACATCATGCAGATCAACTACATATCCAAACCTCTGTTTCAGCTCATTACCCAGCCGTTCAACTGCTATTGGGGTTTCCCCTCAACTTCTAGCCCATGAATCCCTCACCGTCAGCGTCGAAACAGTGCAACTACAAGAAATCGGACTTTTAGTGGCGACAAAATCATGCAAAGTCGCTGCTATACACTTTGGCGACTTTTCTGGTCGCTCCGTGTATAACCATTACTAAATGTTTTTATGACGACTACTGAAAGTCGCCACAAATAAGATACATTTGTGCCGACTTTATTCACTACAACAAGTGCAGTAAATACCCACCCACAAAATAGGTTTGAGGTAGGTCGGCGCTGATGAACGACTTTTAGTAGCGATGATAGTCGCCACAAAAGGAATTATACCTTAAGTGGCAGCTCTTGTCGGCCCAATAACATGAGGTTTAATAGAAATATTGGTCGCCACAAATAGCAATTATTTTTTAGCAAAGTTTGGTCGCCCCTAAAACCTATTTTTTCCAACATAATTTAATTTTTTGAAAATAATTAAGCAGCAGCAATATTTTTAATAATATTACACAAGTGTATTAGAGCAACTCATTAATGTAAGAAGAGTCACCATTAAATCTCTTATCAAACAAAAAGATCAACAAACTTTTTATTAAAATTCAGAATATATAGGAATTGTCCATACGCATGAAACACCCCGAAAAAGAAAAAAAAATAAAGCAGCAGCAAAAGTAAAATGTCTTCAAGCTTCTCCTTGGCTAGTACCCTGTCATCTTGAACAATATGGCCACAGAATGCAATAACAAAACTCATAGGAGAATAATATTGGCTGCTCTCCAAGCGCGCCTCCTGTTGTACTATTCCATAAGAAGGCACATTATTATCTTTTTCACACATTGGACAGATTGGTTACTGCCTACAAAAGAAATTCTGGGATTTTTTTAAAAATCGTCAATATATTTTAAGAAATACACAATAACAATGATGAATAAATTACTTTATTTCATGTATAGCTGCCCAAACTATTAAAATTGATCAGCACATATCTAATAAAATAGAGTTACTATTTCAACTTCTAGGACTATTAGTAGATCAAAGTCATAAAAGAGAGAACTACATTGTACCACAAAAAATGAGAAAACAGGATAGTGAGCAAATATCATTTAAGAAAGAATTTTAGATGAACTCTAGAGTTATACGTGACATCTATGTATAGTAAAAAGGTAGACAAACTTCAATTAATCCTAGGCATAAGATATGAGCAAGGCAATTTGGGAGCCTCTTCTTCTTTGTTTCACTGTGATTTAAAGGACTGATGGAGAGAGTCCAAGAAACGAACTCTTCTTGCATGAGTAGCAGCAATAGAACAGAAAAGATAAGAAGGTCTAGTATACTTGCAATAAAAGCTCATCAAAGAGCCCAGAACATAAGGAATATTTCTCAGGATCATATTTGACATTCTAGCTTTATGATTTTAGCACTTATATGTAAACTCTTAGACGAATTTTGGTAGAAATTATTCTACATAAAGAAAACCTAATATAGATAAGTACAGAAAAGAATTGAATTGTTATCTTCTTTGTTCACTTTGTACAAGGAAGATGTCAAGCCAATTTGTTATCATCCTTGAATGGTATGATTTTTAGTAGCAAAGGACCAACCAATATACATAATTTAACCCATAGAATGTTTAGAGATAATAGAGGACCTAACGCGGATATTTTTACAAAAAGAACTGAATTTATACTTGAGAAGTAGTCTTATCATTTAAATGTTGCCTAAGAACAAATTCGTAAACAAAAATGTTGAAACAATAGCTAGTGCAGGGCTAAAGGAAAGAAATAACAAATTTAGACAGAAATTATTTACCAGAAGGTTAGTCAAGCCTATGGCATTGACCAGCTCAGAGTCACAGGCTATATCTACCTGGCCTGCTCCCCCTTTAAGCAGATGAAAGAGTTAGTCTTGTAGGACCTAGAAGTATACTAATTACAATACCAATGCCATGGAGTTTCCTTTGAACTGTAGTCTCTACCGACATATTTTTTGTGCATGTATGTGATAAACTGATGATAGCTAATAAGAGAATATTATCAGTAATTAGTGGAAGGAAGAGTTGGATATTCTGGATTCACTATGGTCAAGTTTGAAATAAAGTGATAAAGGCAGGTTTCTTACTTTCTACAACTATGTATAATACAACTCTTCCAAAAGCAGGCTTAATCTTTAGCTTAAACGTATAAGTTACTAACCTATTTTCTTTAAAATCTAGTTATAGTATAATAAGTTTTCTGATGATCAGTTAACACTACATTAGCTAATAAAAAGAAGCTTATAACGACATGATATCTTGTGACGAAAGGATATGGCAGAGTAGAAAAATGTTATGTGGACTACCTTAGGAAAAATGCGGCTAAATTGAAAACTGGAGACACAATAATCTAGTCAGTTGATATTAGCTACAAGATGAATATGATGACAATTATGAAAGTTTTAGGTGACAGCAAGAAATGAAAAGAAAAGAGAGAATTCCTTGTTAATTGAAATGCTTATTATTTTAATAAAACCTAAGTAGCTGCTTCCACTTAAGAAAACAAAGATATCTTTGGAAAAAGAGAATAGCCATTCCTACTTAGAAGGGAATGACATGTGTTAATCTAAAACTAGACAATGGCCTTAATACAAAGAAAACACCAGGAGATATCCTTTCGACATTCTCCAGGAGACTTTACATCCCAAAGCATTCATGATGAACATAAACCATTGCATGCGGCAGAGATATAAACAAAGTACTAGTCCACCAAAATTAACGAATGCAAGCAGGTCAAAAGTCAACTTATAAAAAAGACACCAAATATGTAGCGTTCGACCACACAGGTTGTCTGCGATTGCAGTGGTTATTTAAGGTTCGCTTAGAATACTAAGCAAGCTATTAACAATAACATGGTTTTATCATTCTCAAACAGCAGTAGACATGGCAGAATTAAAATGGCTGAAAACATATAGGCCTGGAAGCATGATCAATTTCACTTTCAGAAGACTAGCTAAACGTGCGGAGAAATTCGAAATTCCATCAAAGAAATTTGAAGACTAGCTAAACTAGCACAGAAGTCTTCTCATCTTTGCAAAAGAAGAAAACAAAAGGGACTAATCTGCTGTTTTGACTAAGTTAACTATAACAAATTATAAAATTTTAATGATTTGTCACGTAACTCCAGAGATTTCTCTCAGGCATTTATCAAACACTACATATGTCATAGAAAAATCCAGATTTCACATAAACAAAAAACAGCCCAATAGTCTATTATCGAGGATGAAAGTTAAAGAAGGAGAAGTTGAAAAGAAGATAGAGAGCAAGTGACAAAAGAATTATCAAGAAAGAAGAATTGTCCAGAAGAAAGGAAGAAGAAATGCCGAGAAGGAAGAAGAATTGATAAGAAGGAGCGGAGCAAGTACCTGTTGCATTCTGGTCATGAAACTATCAAATTGTTCATGCATCCTCTTGTCCACTTCTAGATGGATCCTCTTGTCTACTTCTACATTTTCCTCCTACACACACTTTGATTAACAAGGAAAATAATCAATTTCATAAAAAGTATTTATACACTACCACATAAAAAATAATTTAATGAATTTCTTAATCTCTAAAAGATCCATTAAAAAAGTGGATGATGTTGAAGTTTACAGGCTTGATATTCCAAAGTTGTTGTGAGTTAAGCTGTAAAGCCTTGGGCATAGAACATTGTTTGTGGAGGAAGAATGTTGTATGTGGATTAATTCCAGTAAGCTAGATGTAGGAGCAATTGCATATATTTTACTCAGCAAGTAAGTGGAAACTGGTGTCTATTTGACATGCAAGCAAAAGCAATATCAACAGCTCCTGAAAGCAACCTTTTTGGTATCGAATCTTTGATGTAGAATTGATCACCAGGAGCAACCAGTAACTTTCTTTTTCCTGATTACTCACTATAATATTTGGATTTTCTATGGGGGCAAAACATGGAAAATGGTCACTTTTAACACAAACTAAATACATGTACTTCTTCAAATTCTTATGTAAATTATGTTCTCAATACAACAGGAATAATCAACCAAGCAACTATTACTCAATCCCCCCTTACTAAAAATTTTGCAGCATTATGTTATACACGACATTGTATTGCTACTTAGCATCTTATGACCATATAAAAATAAGAATGGAATGCCAACATGTAAAAGGTCTCTCAAGAAGCAGATTTTAACTTACCCAAGAAAAGAGATAGCTGAGATTGTGTCAAGACCGAGAAACGACAACAACAACACCAAATATGCTTCAAATGATTCTTTCTGTGTGATTTTTTTTTTTTTTGTATTCCTATAGATTATCAAATGGCTCAGAGAAATTCGAGATGAAATCCAAGAATACAAATGTGAAATTGCTGAAAAATAATTATCCCTAATTGCATGTTGAAAATTTTGTCTTACAGAATTATTATAAAAAAAAATACCCAAACGTACATATATCTTATATAAATCTTTATGGGGTTTTAATTAGATATGATTAGTAACAAATAAGAAGGAAAGGATGCACAAAATCGATTAGGAACAGAAATCGTCTCTTTGATTCTTCCTCCACGAAATCGATTGATTAAAGCAGAGCAGCTTCTTTCCAAAAAAACGAAAATATTAGGGATTTGAGCATACCTGACAAATGAGATTCATATTTTGATTTGAGGGACTTCGAATTGAGTGAAATTTTAGCTGAGAAGAGCTGATCTGTAGAGAGGGAGGGCCGATTCTAGTGAGAGTTTTGGGCTCTTCTTTCACTTTGTGAGCTTCTGTCCAGACAAGAGAGAGAGGGCCGATTTGAGGGATATTGATCTTTGGAGAAGGTCTAGATTTGTCCTTCTACTATTTTGCATATTGTTTACATTTGTCCCCGTTATACTTTTCGTCCACTTTAACCCTTGCCGTTAATAAACTTTTTAAATTTTCCCCTAATCCCAACGGTCCTACAATGTGACAGCTGACCCCTCCAATTTTTGTACATATCAATTGCCAAGTCAGATGGCCCCACCAAACTAAAATCCCCTAGACCCATAAACTTGACTACCCACTCATTTCCCCTAAATCTTCTAAGCTGCAAATACAAAACATATTTTGGTCTTGGTCAAAATGGAAGATCCATATGCAAAACATCCAACTATTTGAATAGAAAAACGTGAATTTTTTTTAACAGCTCGAGATTTTGGATTTGACAAAGGTTCAGATGATGATTAAGAAAATTGAAACACGCTTGACGAGGACGCTGTGAAAGACTTATTGTACGAGTCTCGTGAAGAACTTGCTGCCTATATTTGTAAGGTAAAGATTTAGAGCTTTACAACGTAATCTTGATAAAACCACCATCTTTTAATTTCTAGTGGAATCAGAAACTTGGAGGAGCCACCTAAGGAACAAAAGTGATGCTGGAATAATATAATTCTTTCACCAAGTCTAAAGCCCAAAGTTCTCAAGAATATACTGCTATCAGTACATTGAAATTTGACAAAGTCCTCCATTTTCAACAAGGGATGATATAAAAGCGTGAGGTTCAGATGAAGATGATTTAAGGGAAATACGTGGCTAGAATAGGTCAAGTTTATGGGTCTAGGGGTTTTAATTTGGTGGGCCCATCTGACTTGGCAGCTGACATGGACAAAAATTAGAGGGGTCAGCTGCCACAGTATAAGGCCGTTAGGGTTAGGGGCAAATCTGAAAAGTTTGTTAACGGTAAGGGCTAAACTAGACGAAAAGTATAATGTGGGACAAATGTAAACAATATACAATAGTAGAGGGCCAAATCTAGACCTTCTCCCTTGATCTTTTGTTTTCTTTTTTATTTTAAAAGTAAAAATCTAGGTATAGGAGCGACCCAGTCGCTTCAATAGAGTTTTAGCGGCGACTACGCAAAAGTCGCCACAAATATTATGGAGCCAAAATTTTATTCTTAGCGGGACTGAAAATTTCAGCCTCATCAGAAGCGACCTAAGAAAAGTCGCTGCTAAATATTACACTTCTGTAGCGACTTTTAAAGTCGGTACTAATAATATAGATGTTGTAGCAACCTATAGGGTCGCTGCTATATGTTGCCACTAATAATTTTATTTCTTGTAGTGCGCAGTCTACATCCGCCACGATGGTGAAGTTGGCACACGGCCAAGGCATGACGCCAAAGAGGTCGGCGCCATGCATGACTGTGTGGAGGAACTAAGTGGCGCAGTCGTTGAAATGAGAAAGTCTTTGGGGGAAATGAAGCAGCTGAGGGGCAAAGATTTTGACCTCAAAATGAATGATATTCAAACTTGGGTCAGTGCTGCCTTGACTGACGAGGACACCTGCACCGAGGGGTTTGCCGGAAAAGTTATGAACGGGAAAGTTAAAACAGTAGTAAGGGGAAGGATTCTGGAAGTCGCGCATATGACGAGCAATGCCTTGGCTTTGATCAACAGCCTTGCCGCTCTTCACGGCTAAAGCAAAAAGGCAATTACACGCCTATATAGTGTTATTTCTCGTCTTTCTCAAAGTGTACTTAGTTCTTCCTTTGTTGATCCCTGAAGTAGCAGGGCAGTCAGCTTTAGGTGATATTCTTAATTAAGTCCGTTCCAAATGCATTTATAGAAAAGGTAATTTTGTGCATGATACACAGTGCAACAACAGTAGTATAATCTTAAATGTATTAGTAGCGTAATTCCTCGATCAATCTTAGTTGCAACTGTGAGTGAGTGAGATCAATCAAAAATGATATGAAGTGCAAATGTGGCAATAGAATGAGTAGGACTGCCCAATCCGACTAATAGCATGTTCGACCAAGCTTTTCCAAGGCCTAAAGCATTTCTTTTTAAAAAAAAAGATTTTTTTTATTCAAAGTAGATGTATTTGACCAGAAGAAAAAAAGTGTTTTTGAGTAGAAGTAGAAGCAGTTTTTGAGAAGTGGAAGAAAATAATATCTCCCCAAAAATATTTTTGAAAAAAATAAACTTAGAAACACTTTTTAAAAGCTTGGTCAAACACTAATTGTTGCTGAAAGTGCGTCTCAAAATAATTAGTCAAACACAAACTGCTTCTCATTAAAAATGTTATTTTGAAAAGCACTATTTGACAGAAACACTTCCCAAATTAAGCTGATTTTAAATATTTGGCCTAACAGGCTATAAAAGCACCTCAAGAGCTATGAAAAAGAAAAATATCCGACTAAAGCGAGCATATAACGTTAGGTATGGGGGGTAGTTTTCCAGTTCTCACGAACATTATTAAATTCTTCTTCTTAGTGTTTCGAAGAAAAAAAATTCAAAAGAATTTCAAAACAAGTTCCCAAAATCTTAAGCAAAGACCAGCTTAAGATTTGATGACTATTCTATTTCAAATTTGGATGGGACAGCCATTCTGCAAAAATGGAAATATTTTTTCTATTTTTTGCGAAGACTATTTCTCAACCAAACGCCAAGAAAGAAAAGTGTTTCAGTTTGTACAAAAATTGAAAGCTACTGAACTTTCAATATTTGCAAAATATGAAGAAAAAAAACTTCTCCTTTTTTGGTGTAACCTACCCCAAGGAATAGGCCATATCTTACGCAGGAGCCAATCTCTTACTTGCGTTTAAGAATTTAGGCACATGGAAGGCCAACTCTATCCAATAATTCTCCTCTTCCAGTGGCTTTCGAGAGCACAAGGGGCCCTCGAGACAAAGTGTGGTATCATGCCATCAGCGCTCTACCCGACTTTATTTGCAGTAATAAGATTGGGGGTTTTGGGGGTGGGGGTTTACTATCAAATGGCATGCTACACTATTAACTTTTTTTATCGAATAACGCTTCTTAACTATAAATCTATAATAGCAATATTTAGTAGAGAGTGTGTGTGCGTGGTCGTATAAATGGCCCATACAGTTATGTCGATCTCAGCACTATTAATTGAAACTAAAAATGACTTCTGGCTGATGGGCATAAGCAAACCAAGGAAGGTTTATATACTGCTGCTTCATATCTATTCAAGCAGCAAGAAATCAGTAATTACGCGCATTTATTTACGCAATCTGAAGAAAGGTGAAAAAGGGAAAAGGGAAAACAGAACGTAAATTTGATTCGTATTGAATTACTTGCTGTTGCTGGCAGAACAAGGCACAAATTTTCTGACTAGCAATATTTTCAAAAAGTTCACCTGTAGTATTTGACTATTTGTAATTAGTGTTGACAACCCGCAATACAAGGTTATTTAGCCATCATATCGTAATATCTCTTTGCATATTCACTCTCAGAAAAAAATGATAGCCTAAAAAAGTAACTAGCAACATAGATTAGCAAATGGTCAAAAAAGGAAAAATGGTCTAAGATTCACTGAGAAGGAAAAGAAAAACAAAGCCTAGGTACAACCAGGCTGATACACTAACAGGCTAAGGTTGAACATGTCAAACGCTCATGAGATAATGTTAAATCAGAAAAGCCTGCAAAAATTGCATTGATAAAGGCAACTTACAGCAGCATCTCCGTTGAATCAGAAGCGTATAAGAACACTCTTTAGACAGTCAACGACATTTGGAATAACACCAGAGTTACACTATTAATCAACAAGCCCTCTTAGGAGGTGCCATATTTTTAATAAGAGAAATGGTTGTACCAATAACAAAAAATTGTACCACAAATCCTGCAGAACAAGGACATGGTCAATACACCAATTGTATGCAGCATATGATGAGAACCAGCCTTGCAATATGAAGCTTACCTAGTAGGACAGCTGCAATCTTTAGAGTCTCCAAACTTGTAAAATTTTGAAAAGCCTGCAGAAAAACATCAGTAGATATTTTTCAATCAAGCCAAAATGATAGCAAGAAATCAGAAAGAAGTAAATACACAATAACATCATTAGATTACTTTTAATCATGCCCAAATAATAGCAAGAAATCAAAGAAAGAAGCAAATACATAAAAAACATCATTAGATTACTTTTAACCAAGCCCAAATGATAGCAAGAAATCAAAGAAAGAAGCAAAATCACATAAAATCAGAAGGAACAACTAACTTCTTGCAAATGAGAGAGGATTATTTTAAGTGGTTTGACTAGTTTGAAAGAAGGAAAAAGTGGATTGTCTGTAAAGATAGTGTTTTGTGAACTTCAAATAAGTTAGTGTACTTATTGCTTGATTCCATTCTTTTACTTCCATCTTAACCAATCAACCCCTAAGAAAGCTATTTGAAAATTGGAATACTGTCACTTTCCAACATCATGGACAATGAGATAGAACTATCAAGTGGTCACTTTGATGCTAAAAAGAGGCAACCATATAGTGAAAGAGGGAATGAGAGCTGGTGAACACAGCAGGGGATCTTCGACAAAGGATACAGAGGGAATGAAGAGACGGGTGAACACGAGCAGGGAATCTTCAACAAAGGATACAAAGGGAATACCAGGTGGTGAGGGTGATAGTAAGGAGAGGCGACAACAGAGTCATAAGGAAGAGGAAGAGAAAAGTGGAACCCTTTTTTTTTCTCCTTTTCTCATTGGGCATAAATAGAGTAAAAGGAACCATAACAAGCTACCTTCCTTCAAACAAGAACTGTCACAAACAACCAGCATATATGGATGTTGAGATATTTTGGTCTCTCTGTGGATTAGTGACTCGGGTTATACTCTCCTTTTACCCTTTTTCAGAAACGGGGTGGAGGAAGGACTAGCATTATAAACATCCATTTTTTTAAACAAGTTGACGAGAAACTACCAGAAAGACCATACTCTTGCGATAAAATTATCCACGGTGTAAATGGGGAGATAAATGGATGGCTACAGCCCTGCTGAAAGATCAGTTCCCTGAACTGTTTGCAATTGCCCAATACAAGTAAGCTTCCTTGGCTTCTCTGAGATTAGCATATCTGGAGGATATAATTCAGAAGGAATTTTAACGATTGGGAACTGGATAGAGTGACTGAATATTTTGCAACTTTAGAACCTTTCCAGCAGTTATTCATAATAAAGACAGAATTGCAATAAGCCAGGAAAAAATGGACTGTTATCTGTCAAATCTTACTACAAGGTACTCACTGGAAGCACAAAACCGAACTCACGTCGGCCATGGCAAAGAATATGGAAGACAAAGGCCCCATACAAAGTTGCTTGTTTCACATGGTTGGTAGCTAGAGAGGTATGTCTAAGTCAAGACAACCAACAGAGAAGGAGCCTAAATTTATGTAACAGGTGTTACCTTTGTGGTTAGCAATCAGGGAGTATAAAGTATAAACCACAGGTTCCTACACTGTTCCAGAACCAGCATACTTTGGAAACTATTTTGAATTACACTGGATCATGCCTGGATCAATAGCAGAAGCCTTGAGGAGCTGGATAGGAAGGAGAATGACAGAATGTCAATATAAATGGTGGAGCAAGCAACCCCCCCCCCCCCCCAAATGCATTTGGTGGGACTATTTTGGGCAACATTTGAAGTTGAAGTTGGGAAAAAACCTTTTTGAAGTAGAAATTGGAAAAGAGTTGGTGGAAGTTGAAATTGTGTTAAAAGCCGCGTTTTTTTTTTTTTGGTAAAAGAGTTTGTGGTAGTTGAAAATTTGTGAGTGGATGTTGAAGATTTTAGAGAAACTTCACTTCAAATACACCTTGACACCAGTACACCACAACTTCAAAATCTTGAGTTAAGGAATTCAACAATCAAGTGCCACCTAAAGATCATCCTAGAAAATCTAGTTTCTCTAATTCTTCAATTGGGTGTTGATATCCATTAACTCTTTCAGCCAAAATTGTGCATTCGAGTCCGAAAGTGTTGCAACATCAGTGCCTGTAGTATCTCATAAAGTCAGATGCAAGTGCCTTCTGCTATACGTGATAACTTATCATGCAGCAACAGCTGCACCTATTGGAACATAAAACATATAGATAAAATGAACCCAACCTAGGCTAAGTATGAATCCTTCTAAATCCGGCATTGTTGTGCCTACGCCAATTTAGGGATAAAGTGAAGAAACACCGGCAGCAAGAAACATTGAGGGCACTCTTTACTTAATTATTTGTTTTCTTCACAACTTCATGTATTAAGTCTTCATACACCAGTCTGGTGCTTAGTTTGCTGAAATTTCAGCAGCAAAAACTTCCCAGAGCATAAGTTCAACAGCCTATCCTGGATTTCAGAGGAACAATGGAGAAGAACGCATCTTTACACTACCATTAGTCTTGAAAACATCTTTATCAAGGTCACATACCCACAAAAAAAAAAGAGAAAGTATGTGCTGCAGATTATGGGTAAGCGGGAGAAAAAAAAAACTGCAGATGTTTGAGTACATAAAGATAGAGGAAGCATTTGATGTACTTATATATGTATCGCGAAGCATTTTTGAAAAAAACTGAAGGCTATATACAATTTAGACACCTTTTCTTGAGTTCTTGTCTTCATTTCAGGAGTTATAGGGGAAATGCAATCTCTTTTTGTAAATTGCAGCCCTTTTGATAATTGTTAGCCCTCCCTTGGTTCTATCTCTGATCCAATTAAATAATCCATTATCCAAAAGCGAAAAAAGAACAAAACAAAACAAGCAATTGCCCCCCCCCCCCCCCTTTCTCTACCTTTTGGGATGAGGTAGGGCTAACAGAAAATTGTCGAGTCCAAATTGCACTATAATGCCATGTGCCGTCAGTGAAGAAAAGAGAGACAATTTTGGAACTTAAAAGTGATCAAATTCTATCATCAGAAGGTATAAGTATTTTAGTTTGTAGGGCCTAAGATAGTCCATAGTCAGATACAAAACTCCAGATTTGAAAACATGTTGCATACTGCTGAATAAAATCACAGACAAAGTTGGCATTTGTTGCTCAGGTCCCAAGTTTCTAGTATTAGCATTTAGCGAGCAACAGGAAGGTTGAAATAAGTAAAAGAACTATAATTTTTTTTGCAGCAATTTTGATATTAACTCAATCATACCAAAGAATCGAGAGGTCCCTATTCAACATAATTAAATATAAAGCAACAACATCATAGATAACTTTTTATCTGTAACAACAACTAGTAGCATCAATTTTCTCATCAGAATGTGTTAAATGAATTAACACATAACCATACCTCCAATGAGAGATTGCTCATAGCAAGATATGCCACTGGCAGCAGGATCGCCATGGATGACCCAAAGACATAAAACTTCAAAAAATTGGATCTGCTTCTCTTTCGACCTAAATATAACAAGAGAAAATGTCTCATTAAAAGGTGAAAAATCAAATAATTAGGTCAATGAGATCCAGTAGCAAACCTAGTTCCCCTGCCAGAATAGACACCAAGCCAATTGCAAGGGAAGAAACAGAAACTCTATCACGAGACTCCTTCTTTGACAATGAAATAAATACATTAGCTGCTATCATCAATTGAGTGACTGCCTGCAGTACATGATACAAGTTCATAAACCACTCCATAAAGATACTACATTAACGGTGGCACAGTTCAAGTCAAGATCTTGATGATGAATTAGTAATATCTTAACGAGCAACTAACTAAATCAGCTTATTTTAACCCTTTCTCAACATCAGAAAAATAGCCTTGAAAAAACCAATTCGAAGTTTATGCAATAATAACAGAAATTCAATCTAACAAACCTGAGCGAAGATCAATTTGGCAAGACGATACTTTGCCTTTGCAACTTTCGTGTATCCTACCAAAAAAAAATTTTAAAAATAATTAAGAGAGAGCGAGAAAAGAAGTTGGGGAAATGGAAAAGGGGGAAAGTATACTGGAATCGACGACCATGCGGTAGGAGAAATCAGAGCCATCGGTTCCGGACGGCCTCCCTCTTCCTCCTGCCCTTTGATTCATGTTCTCCGCCTTACTTCTTCGAGAATCCCAGTATCGTCTCTGTTGAATATGAATAAGCCTCTATTTTGGCCCAAAGCCACGCACACAGAAAAGACTAGCAAGTGTGTAGCACAGTGAAATAAACTAGAAAGTAGAAACCGAGTTTCCTAAAATCCTTTTTACAATGTAGTGGACAAATATTAAATTTAAAATAAATAAACAAACTATTAAGAAATTATAGCTGTCACACCTCCTTTTTCCTACCACCGAAGGTGGTATAGGGGAGTTTTTTCCAATTTAAGTGACAATCGAAACGGGATTATTTTTATTTAAAATTCAGAGTCGTCACCTGGGATAATTTATGGTGTCCCAAGTCACAAGATTGACTCTGTTTTATAGTCCGCGAATACATAAATCCAGGTAAGGAATTCTGATAACCCGGGAGAAGGTGTTAGGCATTCCCGGGTCCGTGGTTCTAGCACGATCGCTCAACTATTATTATTGGCCTATTTATCTGATTTTGAAACACCTTTAAACCTATATGCATTTTTTATCCTTTTAGCCGCTTTTAATATTTAAAGAATTAATTCAAGGTTATTTAAAACATATCGCAAGCCACGCTACATGAAATGCACCCGCGGTTCACGACACGTTTTATTTAACCTTGTTGGAAATTGGAGTCGGGTCACATGAAATGCACACCCGAGCCCGATACCTAAAACATGTGAAAAATACTTAATTGCTAATGGGTTAACGCCTTCTCCACTTCCCATGGCCCAACACAATACGACTCAAACAATCCACACAAGTAATAGCAATGAAACATTTAACAGATGGGTATCCAAAATAACGTACTGTTGGTAACAAACAAACAATCAGACAAACTAAGAAAAAGGGCAGAAAGAAAAGGTAAAGAAGTGTGAATTTAAAGATGATAAGAGCCAACTAAAGCTTAACTAACCAGCCCCATTCAAACTCACCTTTTACTTTTCAGATTTCTCCTCACGTCTGATCCCAAATAACCCTCTTGGCTTTATTTTCTTTCATCCTCACGTTCAGTCACATATAAACAGCAGGCACATATTGAACTAACTAATATATCTTTAACTCTCAGAGGCAAAACTTGATGAGAAAAAGCAACATTCTCCAAATAACAATGAAAGCAGTGAAACAACTTCTACAAACTAGTATATACTATTTTAAGGGAGCAGGCAGGGGAGTAGATCACAGAGGATAAATCCAAAACATAAATGTAACAGGTCTTGCCCCGAAGAAAATTGATCCACATCTTGACGGAGAAATTCGAACTTATATACATTCAATTATCCTAAGAACTCAACATGTGCACCAAGCCGATTTAAAGAACACACAATAGACCAAAATTTGATTAGAACTTCCACCTTAGTGATAAACTAATAGACATGATACTTATTTTCAAGAAAATTTAAACATTCAACACGCGAGCTGGTCCATTTCTTTCATTCGAACACATGGAAACTTAGGCGAGATCACAAACTATATGCTCAAACTTTAGAAACAGGAAACGGACTTAGTTCGACATGGAACATGGTGAAATATTCGTTGCTCGAACTTCGAAGACATTCAAGACACTATTCCTATTTTAGGATTAGGACGGATTACCCAACCATAATTTAAAGATCAAATGACACGTGCTTTTAAAAAAAACCATACTGATCATTCAATCAAATTATCTCATGTGCTACCTCCTGGGAATAGACGAAAACATTCGACAAAGTGACTCTTAGAATGCAGAAACTAAAATGAATTTGAATATGGAACAAGGATACAAATTAGCGCGTGTCACCACAAACTAATAGGAACAGATTGATCGCAGTATCAATAAGCCAAAGACGAACGGATCTAATCCGAAAACATAACTATAACCTAAACGCTTCAGTTTTTCAATTTCTCACATTCAAACACATCAAAGATTTCTCACATTCAAACACTTCCAATTTCAGTTTTTCAATTTCTCCAATTTTCTGAAACTCTGAAGCAGAAGGAGCAGCGATGGAAAGGAGGTTCTTAGGTTGGGGATTTTGGCGAATGGTGGCGGTTGTTATGGTTTTGCGATGGTCGTTCGCATGCGTGTGGTTGGCGACTGATTGAGGGGACGACTGATTTAGGGGACGACTGAGGTGGTCGTTGTTTTTGAGAGGGTTCAGCCGCTCATCTCCAACCTGAGGCGTTAGGACTGGAGATTGAAGAAGAAGGGCAGGGATGGTCAGGCGGGCTTCCGGCGATGGGAGGGGTCACCGGTTCTGTTCAGTCGAAAGAGAGAGAGCGTCTGCCCAATTTGTCAGCGGCGGATTTTTTTATTGGAGTCTTAGGCTAGCGTATTTTTTTGTGTGTATTGCTGATTTAGGTGTTACCCCTATTGTATAGGTATAGGTCTAAATGTGTATTTTTGTGCTAATTGCTCTTAGGTTCTTAGGGTCTTTTTATTTATTTTTTGTTCCAAAGAAGAGTGTCCCTAAGGTTAGCTTAATGAGTATTGTGTATTGGACTTAATGGGCTTGGGAATTATGGGCTAGGTCCAAAAATTAGGCCTAAAAATGGGTTGCTCGAGCCCAAGTTTTATTCTTTCCCCGCGAACGAGACTAAAATACGATCTCATTTATTAATTAATCCTACTTAAGTAAAATAATCATTAAAATAAGATTGACCGTTAAAACAAAACTATTTTTGGTATTTTCAAGATTAAAAATAACTACAAAATATTAATGAAACTATTTTATTTTTTTTGTAATTTTTATTTTCTTGTAATAAAATAAAGTAACGGAGTAAAAAATAGTTTAAATAGCTATATTAGGCCTAAATTAAATATTTACGCTAAAATGGGTGAAATTTCGGGGAGGGTCAAAAATCACATGTCTACAATAGCAATATAAGCCATGAAATATAGACAAAACTTTTCTTAGTTTACTTGAAGGTTATAAGATATTAAATGAGTGTAATAAACATATTCATGTACAATCTAAAAATGGTTCATGGATGAGTTGTTGGACATCCACAAATTTAATGTATTCATAACACTCCTGGGATTCCCCTAGATAATGTGCCTCGATAAAACCTTACTAGAAAAAATTCGATGGAAAAAAGCCTAGTGAAGAAAAAAGAGTACACACATCTAATAATACGCATTGAGTGCTACCTCATTAAATGTCTTACCAGGAAAACTCAATTGGAACAAAACCTTAGTTAAGGAAAAAAGAGTACAACGTGTATTGTACTCCCCCTGATAAAAACTTTATTTGATATCTCGGAGACGATGCACTCCAATCTTATGTCTCAGATTCTCAAATGTTGATGTTGGCAATGCCTTAGTGAATAAATCTGCTAGATTATCACTTGAACGGATTTGTTGAACATCTATATCACCATTTTGTTGAAGATCATGCGTGAAAAAAAAAACTTTGGTGAAATGTGTTTTGTTCTGTCTCCTTTAATATATCCTCCTTTTAGTTGAGCTTTGCAAGCAACATTATCTTCATACAATATCGTTGGAATCTTCATCTTTAAAGAAAGACCACATAATTGTTGAATGTGTTGAGTCACTTATCTCAACCATACACATTTTCGACTAGCTTCATGAATAGCTATTATCTCTGCATGATTGGAGATGTAGCAGCTAAAGTTTGTTTTATTGAACGCCGTGAATACATGTACGTCCACAAGTAAATAGATAGCCTATTTGAGATCGGGCTTTATGTGAATTAGAAAAATAACCTGCATCTGCATAATATTTATGAATCGGGTTCATAAAAAATAAAATAATCCCATATCAATAGTCCCTCGGAGGTATCTGAAAATATGCTTAACACCATTCCAATATCTTGTTGTTGGAAATGAACTAAATCTTGCTAGTAAACTTACTGCAAAAGTTATATCTGGTCGAGTATTATTTGCAAGATACATTAATGCCCAATTGCACTAAAATATGGAGTTTCATCACCAAGAAGCTCTTCATCAATTTCATAAGGTCGGAGTCTTTATTTATATCGAGTGATCTCACAACCATCAGGGTACTCAATGGATGTGTTTTATCCATATAAAAACGCTTTAGGATCTTTTCGGTATAAGTTGATTGATAGACAAAAATTCCATCTTCCATATGCTTAATTTGTAAACCAATATAGGATTTTGTCTTTCCAAGATCTTTCATTTCAAATTCTTTATTCAAACAGTCTTTTGAAAGTTCCAGAGGAGTTCCAATAATATTTAGATCATCAACATACACAACGATTATAACAAATTCAGATCCAGACCTTTTTATAAAGACACAAGGACAAACTGGATCATTCTTATACCCTTCTGTCACGATCCGAATTTTTCCACCATCGGACCGTAATGGCACCTAACATTGCACTCGCTAGTCAAGCCAACATTAGAGTTCTATTTACCTTTTTCCTTTACATCTTATAGTTAAAATTAACAAAGCTAAATCAAACGAAAGTAATTGCGGAAGCACACAATTTACTGGTTATCCATATACTATTAATAAATACCGAAAACTGTTACCGCCCAGAAACTGGTGTCACAGCCCACGAACATTCTATGAATATCTACAAGTATGGGTCTGAAAGAAAAATACATTTGTCTCGAACGAAAACAAAATAGAAATGTAGAAACATAGGAGGGGACACCAGGGCCTGCGGACGCCTGCAGGACTACCTTGGGTCTCCATAGATGAATGCCTGCAACCGACCTCTTGATCAGTCACAACTAGCTCCAAAATCTGCACAGAGAGTGCAGAGTGCAATATCAGTACAACCGACCCCATGTACTGGTAAGTGCCGATCCTAAACTCGACGAGGTAGTGACGAGGCTACGACGGGGCACCTATAAGATAACCTGCAATAGTATATAATAAAGCAAAAAGGAAATACGGAACGAATTGGAGCAGTAACTTGCAACAAAATAAATACGGAACCCAATTATCTTGCCAGTACTCTGCTATAACCAATCCTTAAGAGAGTTACAATACTACAGGAATAAATCACAGCAGAAGAAGAATACATAAACAACAAATGATGCGGCGCGCACCCGATCCCATCATATAACCAGTAACAGTATGAACATTCACTCTTATTACTCCTGTTGCGGCGTGCAACCCGATCCCACCAGTCCACCCTCATTGCTCCTCAATATATCACCCTTATTTCTCCTGTTGCGACGTGCAACCCGATCCCACCTGTCCACACTTATTACTCTTGTTGCGACGTGCAACCCGATCCCACTAGACAATCACATTTCACCCTTATTCCTCTTGTTGTGGTGTACAACCCGATCCCACCATATCAGTACAAATCACACCATAAGAACAAGTATTTCACAATTCAGCTCAAATCTCTCCATAATATTTGTGCCTCAAACCAAAACAAACGGAAATCTATACAAGTATGAAACTTCATCAATTAATGCTACACCGCGAGACCAACCAAAATGTTCCATGAAATACCGATAGGCCAACTTAAGCCAATAATGAGATACAATGAACTACGGAACAATTAATACCTTCAATAAGGAAAATAACATCTAACAAGAAGCAATTAAACATGGAAACACCAATTAGCATGAAGTAGTTAAGACAGGAAAACAATATATTAGGAACGGGAAGGGAATAGGCTAAAGAGATAATTTGGCGGAGCATAGGTACTCATCACCTCACCTATACGTCACACACATGGATTCTCACATAGCAAATAGGTCGGGGATCCCTAATCCCTCAAGTCAAAGTAAGACACAACACTTACCTCAATCCAACGGCCAACTCAAAGCTCAATTACCGCTTTTCCTCTAGTTTTCACCTCCGATCCACTCGTATCTAGTAATAATTAACTTAATAACATCAATTATTCGCTAAAGAAATCAATTCCAATAAATAATTATAAGTTTCCCAACATTTTTCCCAAAAAGCCAAACATTGACCCCGGGCCTGCTTGGTCAAAACCCGAAATTCGGACCAAACCTCGATTACCCATTCACCCCCGAGCCCGGATATACAATTGGTTTTGGAATCTGACCTCAATTTGAGGTCTAAATCCCCAAATTTTTAAATTCCTAAGTTCTACCCAATTCCACCATGAAAAACCCTAGATTCTAGGATAAAATCTTGTAAAAAGATGTAATAGATTGAAAAAATGAGTTAAGAATCATTTACCTATGATTCAGGGAAGAACTAGCCCTAGGAAAATAGCCTCTTAAGGTTTAGGTTTTGAAAAATGGGAGAATGAATGAAAAATCCCGTCTAAGTCTAAACTTATCAACTGTAGATGTCGCATTTGCGACCTGAGCTTGGCAAATGCGAAGAAGCTATCGCAAATGCAAAGCCCTTCACAGTACTGTTGCCTCCGCAAATACGAAGTCCCAGTCACAAAGGTGAACAAGGACTTCCGCAAATGCGGCCAACTCTTCGTAAATGCGAACTACCAGTCCCCTCCCCTGCTTCGCAAATGCGATCATTTTTTCGCAAATGCGAGGCTTGCATTTGCGAGCCAGACCTTGCAATTGCGAAGTCTGCAAGACCTGAAGCATACCAGCAATTCCTCTTATGTCCAAATCACTCTGTAGCCTATCTGAAACATACCCCGAGCCCTCGGGGCTCCAAACCAAACACGCATTCAAGTCTTAAAACATCCTACGAACTTGCTTGCGCGATCTAATCGCCAAAATAACACCTAGGACTACGAACTTAGCACCAAATTGCATGAAATTTTCAAGAAAGTTTCAAAACTTCTATTTTTCAACCAAAGGTCTGAATCACATCAAATCAGTTCCGTTTCTCACCAAATTTCACAGATAAGATATAAATATCATAATGGACCTGTACCGGGTTCCGGAACTAAAATACGGACCCGATACCAATGAGATCAACTATTAACCAATTTCTCAAAACTATTATAATTTCAGTTTAACAATTTTCATCAAAAATTCATTTCTCGGGCTAGGGACCTCGGAATTCGATTTCGGGCATACGCCTAGGTCCAATATTTTACTACAGACTCTCCGGGGCCGTCAAGACACGGGTCCGGTTCTGTTTACTCAAAATGTTGACCGAAGTCAACTAAAATTAACATTTAAAGGCAAAAATTATTATTTTCTCAAATTTCCACATAAAGGCTTTCCGAAAGCGTGCTCGGAATGCGCACGCAAATCAAGGAGAACTAAAATAAGGTTTTGAAGGCCTCGGAACACGGAATCAAGTTTTAAACACAAAAGATGACCTTTTGGGTCATCACATTCTCCACATTTAAAACAATCGTTCGTCCTCGAACGGACATAGAAAAGTACCCGAGTCGGTGTAAAGATGGGGATATCTACTCCGCATATCGGACTCGGACTCCCAGTAGCTGCCTCAACAAGCTGGCCTCTTCACTG